TCTTTGCTGCTGACCTTTGATGATCCAGTTCAACCGTACTAATAATCACAAATTACTCTAGACAAACATTTGTGTGTCTTTTTTTTTATTGCTGAAGTGTGTTGAAATTTCTTCTTCTGCATTCTACTGTACGGACGTACATTTACTTTCCCTTCAGCCTGAGGCTTATTCATTTCACTTTTGGTGTGAAAAGGCTTTTATATTTGCCAAAAATATAACTTTTTTATTTTAAAAACAAACAAGCAAGCCCTGTCCAGATTTAAAAAGTAACGCAAAAGTAACGTAACGCATTACTTTCCATAAAAAGTAACTAAGTAATGCAATTAGTTACTTTTTTATGGAGTAACGCAATATTGTAATGCATTACTTTTAAAAGTAACTTTCCCCAACACTGGTAATGATTATTAAGAAAACAACTGGAGGTAAAGATGTAATATTGCAGGTGATTTCGCCTTGGAACCTTCAGAAAATTTTAACTCGATTTTTCTCGAAATGGACTTTGCTGACCCCATCGACTTCAAACAGGTGTAGCTCAGTAATTTAAAAAAACAAACAAAACCCCTCATTTTTGAAAATATGCTCATTGTGACTCATTTTGCCAGCACAGGTCACATATGTGAGCCTGGAGCACAAAAGCAGTGTTAAGTCGCTGGGGTATATTTGTAGCAAAAGATATTTTGTCAATTTCCTACTGTAAATATATTAAAACTTCGTTTTTTGATTAGTAATATGCATTGCTAAGAACTTCATTTGAACAACTTTAAAGATGATTTTCTCAATATTTAGATTTATATATTTTGCACCCTCAGATTCCAGATTTTCAAATAGTTGTATCTCGGCCAAATATTGTCCTATCCTAACAAACCATACATCAATGGAAAGCTGATTTTATTTGATTTCAATTTTAAAAAATGACCCTTATGACTGGTTTTGTGGTCCAGGGTCACATATATTCATTAAAAAAAAAAACTCCCCAGAAAAAAGGACACTTTCTCTCGAGGAACAAAAATGTCAGGTGCTCAAGCCCTCTTTGATGTCTATGTGTCTCTCTCTCTGTCTGTTCCAGGATGAGCTGTAAGGTGGCGCTGTGGCTGCTGCTCACCAGCCTGCTGTGTCTCGCCTCCGCCGGCCGTAAAACCCGACCGCAGGGATCCATCCCATCGCCCTACAAGACCAACTCCAACACCTCCGACCGGCGCGCACGCAAACAGGAAGTGCTGGCCTCCAGCCAGGAAGCTCTGGTGGTGACGGAGCGCAAGTACCTGAAGAGTGACTGGTGCAAGACGCAGCCGCTGCGGCAGACGGTCAGTCAGGAGGGCTGCAAGAGCCGCACCGTCATCAACCGCTTCTGTTACGGCCAGTGCAACTCCTTCTACATCCCGCGGCACGTCAGGAAGGAGCAGGAGTCCTTCCAGTCCTGCGCCTTCTGCAGGCCGCAGCGCTTCACCAGCCTCACCGTGGAGCTCGACTGCCCCGACCTGCAGCCGGACGTCCGCTATCGCAAGATCCAGCGCGTCAAGCAGTGCCGCTGCATGTCCGTCAGCGTGTCCGAGTCTGGGAAACAGTGAGATCCTGACCACGTTTCACTGGAAACACCTGCTGCTAATCTGAGCTGAAAGACTGCAAGGCTTTAGCATGCCATCTTAATACTGTCCTGCTGGACACTGGTCACTATCAGCCACCACTGGTCACTGTCGGTCACCATTGGTCTCCAACGGTCTCCATCAGTCACCGTTGGTCACTATCGGTCATCAGCAGACATTATCGGTCACTACTGGTCTCCACTGGTCACTCTCGGTCATCATTGGACACTATTGGTCACCATAGGTCTTCATTGGTTACTATCAGTCTTCACTGGTCTCCATCGGACACTATTGGTCTCCATTGGTCACTATCAGTCATCATTTGGTCACTATCGGTCATCATTGGACACTATTGGTCACCATAGGTCTTCATTGGTTACTATCAGTCATCACTGGTCTCCATCGGAGACTATTGGTCACCATTGGTCACTATCAGTCATCACTGGACACTATTGGTCACCATTGGTCACTGTCGGTCACCACTGGTCTCCAACAGTCACTGTTGGTCACTATCGGTCATCATTGGACACTATCAGTCACTATCAGTTATCATTGGACACTATTGGTCACCATAGGTCTTCATTGGTCACTGTCGGTCACCATTGGTCTCCAACAGTCTCTATCAGTCACCGTTGGTCACTATAGGTATTCATTGGTTACTATCGGTCACCACTAGCCTCCATCGGACACTATTGGTCACTATTGGTTATCATTGGACACTATTGGTCACTATCAGTCATCATTGGACACTATTGGTCACCATAAGTCTTCATCGGACAATATCGGTCACCACTGGTCTCCACTGGACACTATCAGTCATCATTGGTCACCAAGGTCATTATCGGTCACTAGAGAGTGTGTGGAAACTAACTGACGTGCAGAGAAATGACTCCACACTGAACTCTATGCAGGAGCTGCTGCCACCTGTGTGATGATCAATGATAGTTAACACCAAACATGCATAACTAGACTGATTGTAGAGATTCTATAGAAATATGGTACAGCAAAAGTATATATATGTAGAGAAACAACTTAAGTCTATATTAAAACTATTGAGTTCTATTCTCGTCTTCTGTTTTTTAGGGGTTCAGTCTGGTTTATCTAAAGCTGACATGGGAAAACTAGCCTTTATGTGGTTTAATCCGGTTGGTTTTTCTCCATTGGTTAGTAGTTATTTTGCAGTAGAGTTTGATTTGCCCCATTTAAAAACCCTGGAAGATTCACATTATTATGTTTGAGAACCTCAGTAACCAATTCAACGCAGATCCAATGCAAATCTGCAGATTTGCGGGGAAAATTGGTGCACTGGATATTAAGGCCCGCCCACACCAAGAATGATAACTATAACAAAGTTTTAATAATCGCTGTAACTATAAGAGAAGAGTGGAGTCCACATCGCAACTACATAATATGGACTTTTTAGTCTCACAATTCTTCTCACTTTTTTCCTTGCAATTATTGGTTTATATCTCACAGTTCAGAATTTTTCTCACAATTCAGAATTGCAAGATATAAACTCAGAAATGCAATATATGAACGCCGTACTGCATCCGAAAAGTCTGAATATTTGAGAAAAAACACAATTGTGAGAAAAAAAAAGTCAGAATTGTGATTGAGTCAAAATTACGAGATGCAAACTCAAGAATTAAGAGAAAAAAGTCATTAATTCGCTTTCAATTTATATCTTTTAATTCTGACTTTTTCACTGAATTGTGAGTTTAAATCTGACAATTTTGAGATTATATCATGCAAAATGGAGGAAAAGTCAAAATTGTGAAATATAAGCATGCAATCGTGAGAAAAGGTCAGAAATGTTCGATTAAAAAAAGTCGCAATTACCTTTGTTTTTTGTTTCATGGTAGAAACAAAGAAACAATTCCAAGATGTAAACTCAGAATTGAGAGATAAGTCAATTTTAAGATGTAAACTCAGAATTCTGACTTTTTCTTGCAATTATGAATTTACATCTCGCAATTGACTTTTTCCTCTGAATTGCAAGTTTTTGTCTTCTTGCATGCAAATGTCCTTTTTCTCAGAATTTAGAAAATTGAGAGATGTAAACTTTATAAAATTTAGAATTGTGAGAAGTCGCAATTACCTTTATTTATTATTTTTTATTCTGGCGACAGAAACAGGCTTCCATAATATAACGATTACCTTCAAAGCGATTTAGCAGAATGTAACTTAAGTGCACTTACAATAAACAATGTTATCGTCCGTTTGTGTGGACGCTAATATCAACCTTTTTCCTACGAGCATTATTTCCATTATCTGGAAGAGTGATGGATATTTCAAAAAAGTGCTTTCCCTCAGTTTGACATGAATTGTATTTCCTGCTTCGGAACCCTTCCAGTAAACACTGGGATTAGAAAATGACATCGTAAAACATCCACATAAAAAGCAAACCAGGAAAGAGACGTGAATGAGGATTTGGGGAGGAAAAACAAGAGATTCTTAAGCATTCCAGCAAATTATTTATGGTATATGTTCATTTAATCAGAACAATAGACCATGAGAATGCAGGATCTGTTGCATATTGTTAATCTTATAATTTGAAATGATGTGTTTGAGTCATTTTGAATGGCAGTTTTTGGTGTGAACATCCCTTTAACACAGTAAAATGTGTTAAACTGAGCTGAGAGTCCTGAACTCTTATTAGCGTCTGAATAATAACCAACAAAATTAACCAAAATGCTTGAGACGCATAATTCAATCCTGCAGACGTTCATAAGATTAGAAAACATCCCATGGTGAATATGCAAGTAAATCTCCAATCGTGTGAAATAAATTCAAATGTCTGAATTTATTAATCCCTTTATTTTACATAAATTACACTCTTCTCAAAACGTTCCGATACAAACAGTTATTGCACATGGAGCGCAGACGTCCATCCACACCTCCGACACGCACATGCTAAAAACAAACCAATGCTACATAAACATGTTAATATTTACATTAATTTAAAAAACATCCTCTTAAATACATCGAGTGAGTGAGTGAATGCAGCAAAAACAGAAAACAATCTTGCATAATTTCACAAAAACACTGAGTAGATTCCTGAACGTTCGCCGCCGTCTGATCTGATTCATACTGTACATACTGGAGTGTCTCTTTCAGGTCCTGTAGGACTGGAGTGTGCTTTGAACATGCTAAACCAGCTGATGACTAGCGCACTAAACTGCACTAACTAGTGTTGGTTTAAAAGCATGTGACGGTGCCGATGTTTAAAATAAAGACGCATCAGAAATCCAGATACTCTTGCTTTCTCTTGCCTTTTTTCGTCTGTTAAAAATAAAAACTTAGTTTTGATGATATTGCTTCAGTCCTCCAGTATGTACTGTGATATGTAACGTCTGATATGTTCATCCGCCAGGACACAGGATATGACATCACATTCAGACGGCGGATCACTTCCTGTGTGGTACGGCAGATGGCAGAGTAACACTGAAGATTTACAGATGAAACATCACAAGAGTCAGTCCACATCCGCCTCAGATCTTCATGCCCAACTTTGCTTTCTGAGAGGAAATAAAGAGGCTCATTTAATAAAAGTTTAATCTCATGCTGCTTTCAATCTATTCAGCTCTCATAATCTCGGTTTCACCTGTACAAATGGCAACATCCTGAAAATAAATCTGCGTCTGAATTTCTCATAGCTCACTGGAAACACTTTTATAAAGGTCAGTGCATTAAGTGTTCATTTCAGGACCATGAGGAACGATTAGAGATGAGCAGCGTCTAGAGCTCTGGAGAGACTCCTCAGAGTCAAAGCTTTAGAGCTCATATACTTTATTAGGGCTTGGTAAAAAATATCGATATCTCAATAATAATCGATTCTTATTTTTACGGAACGATATTGATTCTTAAATCCCAAGAATCGATTAGTCTAGCCTGTTTTCAGTTACTGTAATGAACGGAACATTGATTGAAGGGCACTTCCCAACCAATATATCGCAATAAGCATTGTGCTTTGGTACTTTTAATATGAAACAAAGTCTCAGATTTCAAATTCTGTCCATTGTATTGCAGTACTCAAACAATAAATGCAGTTTTGGCGCCGTTTAATGTGGAGTGACGGATCGCTGTAGCGCCTCAGATCAACAGACGTGAACTGATCATCTCCTCCGCTTTAATACTAGTTATAGCACAAAATAAACATGACTAAACATCCGAAGGTAAGTTAAAAGAAAGAGTACAACTTTACAATCCGTATCCTGTCTCATGTAATCGCTCAATCTGTGTTTTAGCTGCGCAAAGACGTCAATATAACGGCTTGTAAACAATGTCACGTAACGTCACATTTACCTCAGAAAAACATATTCGGTGACCATAAACTCATTAGTAAGCTAGAAAAATAAACTGAATACACATAACATCACATTTACCTCAGAAAAACATATTCGGTGACCATAAACTCATTAGTCAGATAGAAAAATAAACTGTAGAGAGGGGCATTTTGCTAAATACTGTATATGCACCATATAGCCTAACATATTCAATATAATTTTTACTGTTCTTCAATGTTTAATTTGTTTGAATAAATACATCAAGTTTTTATGACAGCCACCATTTAAATGTTTATATGACAAAAATATTATGTAATTGTAACTTTATTATTTTAAAAACTTCATTAAGTGTAATTTTTGCAGTTGTATAGCCTACAAATATAAATAGAATAGATAAATAGAAAATATCAACTGACTGATTTTTTTTATATTGCTCTAATCATAATTATAACTATAAGGCATGACGATATTAAGATATTATAAACATTAAAAACGATTTCGTGATTTTCTGTTAGGCTGCTTTGAAACCATGCAAATTGTAAATAAAACAGCTTACGATTCCAGACGCGTGCTTGGGTTTGACGCTGTATGTGGCTTTTTCTTTGACCTGTCGGAAACACTCCTCCGCCGCCTTCAGTCTGAGAAACAACATGAAGAGAGAGAGAGGAACAGATAGAGTTACTGACCCAGACATCCACATCATACTCTAACAACATAATACTCAACATCATACTCCACACATCTACAGCATATTCAATATCATACTCTAAATCATTCCCTACAACATATCCTACATCATACCCTACGTATTCTACATCATACTCAACATCATACGCTACATCATACTCTACAACAGTGGTTCCCAACCCTGGTCCTGGAGGCACCCCAACACTGCATGTTTTGCATGTCTCCTTAATCAAACACACCCGATTCAGGTCATCAGCTCATTAGTATAGACTCTAAGACCTGAAATTGGTGCGTCAGAGAAAGGAGACATGCAAAATGTGCAGTGTCGGGGTGCCTCCAGGACCAGGGTTGGGAACCACTACTTTACAACATACCCTACGTATTCTACATCATACTCAACATCATACTCCACAACATACTCAATGTATTCTACATCATATGATGTAGCGTATGATGTTGCATATGATGTAGAATACGTAGGGTATGTTGTAGGGTATGATGTTGGGTATGATGTTGAATACGTTGAGTATGTTGTAGGGTATGATGTTGGGTATGATGTTGAATACGTAGGGTATGTTGTAGGGTATGATGTTGGGTATGATGTTGAATACGTTGAGTATGTTGTAGAGTATGATGTTGAGTTTGATGAAGTATATGTTGTAGGGAATGATTTAGAGTATGATATTGAATATGCTGTAGAGTATGCTGTATTCTACATCATACCCTACAACATACCCCACATATTCGACATCATAAGCTACAGCATACAGTACAACATACTCAACGTATTCTACATAAAACCCTACAACATGCTCTATATCATACCCCACACCAAAAAAAACTATATAGACAAAATAAAAAATATAAAAAATGACAAACAAATTACTAAAAGTAAATTGAATACCTAAAATAAAAAAAACTAACTAAAACTTTATAAAAACTGTAGACTATATTAAAAAACAAAAATGACAAAAACACAATGACTTACTTTAAAATTAAAATAACCAAACTAAATAAAAACTAAAACTTAATAAAAACTACATATAACAATATAAAAAGAAACCCTAATAAAAATGACTAAAATACAAGACTACTAAAACTTTAAAATAATATTCAAATAACTGAAACTAAATAAAACTAAATATTAAAAAACTACATAGACAATTAAAAAAATAAATTACAAAAATAGACAAAGGTAAACTTAAAACTAAAAACTCTAACATTTATAAAAAAAAATAAAAAATAAAAACCAAAAAGCTCCAACGGAACATCAATGATACTAAAACGACACTGGCATGATGTGACGCGTGTCTTGAGTTTGTCTGTAGTGAGCTGAGCTGAGGTTTAACAGCAGCTTCAGGAGGAAGTGAATGTGACCCGCAGGGTCCAGATACACACACCGAAAACAGCTCTAATCCCCGTCACGGGCACAAACCGTACCAGTTACCCACAATCCCACACACACACACACACACACACACACACAAAACCAGAAGATCTTTCTTTAAGACACACACACACAGACACAGACACACACACACACACACACAGACACACAGACACACACACACACACACACGCAGCATCTGTGGTTTAAGTCTCGTTTGTCTGAGTGGCACATACATACAGCACATTCACGTAAATCTTAAATAGTTTATATTGTCATAAATGTAACTCTTATCGTACAGCTCTAATCTGATCAATATGACTATAAATCATTAAGATATTAGAAACATTAGTGTCATGATTTTCTGTAAAGACTCATCGCTCTTCAGCGGTTCATCTGACCGGACGGGAGACAGCTCTTCCTCGTTAACTTTAACTAGTCCTGACAGATCTGTACACTGCTTAATCTGAGCATTCGGAAGTTAAGATCTGCCACGCTCGGTGATGAAGCGGCGCAGGAGCGGGTTCGTTTAGCACACGTCTCTCTTCTCTGGGTCATGTGTGTGGACTGACGCCAGGAGCTTCATCTCCATAACCCTCGAACCAGTGAATGAAACACAAACACCATAATTGGCCATGAATCCTCTGATGCTCCAGTGTGATTCTGGAGTCAACGCATTTATGCAGCTATGTTTGAACAAAGTGCATTTAATCATTTAAAAATATTATTTTAAAATAGTTTTTAAACATTTAAAAATAATTTAATTATCAATTATTTAAAATATTATTTAAATTATTATTAAAAATAATTAGTAAAATATTAAACTTTTTAAAATAATTATTAAAAAATATTTCATTTTCAAATAATCCAAAATGTCATTGAGAAAGAATCAATCAATCTCATGAGAATAAAGTACATATTGCATTAATGCATTATTAAACTGATTTGCAGTATATTATGAGCATTAGGGTTAGGGTTAACCCTAACCCACATCAAACGTTATGCATATTTGCATTTAAACATTTGTTTCTGCTGAATTCATGCTCAGAAACCACACAAAAGCAGTTGCAAAGAATTGTTTGAGAAAAACTCTTAAACTGATTAAAATTAAATACTGCATTAAATAATTATTGCATATTAAATGGGATAATTTGATGTGGGTTTTCAAAGTCCACTGCTGATATAGAGTCAAACCGAGGAGAAAAACATCTTTGTGTGTTTGCATTCACACATCCTGCTGAACTCATGATCAGAAACGACACAAAAGCAGCGAAACGCAGCTGAAGCGATGACCTTGAGATCTGAAGCTCATAAAACATGACGGATTCAGAGTTTGGAGTGAAGAGTGTTGCGTCTCGCCCACTGGAACAGAAGAGCAAGCAAACAGACGGCGTGCTGTGATGTATTTGGCTGCTGAGAGCGCCTGACATGTTTACAGGAAGTAGAATTATGGGCAGAGAGATGCTCCCCCTGCACATCAGTAGCAGCTACTTTCAACAGCAGAGCGGAAAAACATCCCGCCGGACGCGAGCGGGACCCGTGTGTCTGAGCCAGTGCTGAGCGGGACGAGGATGAGGAGGGTCTGGATCAGAACACTGCCTCCACGACCAAATATGGTGGTGCTGCGGCGCAGGTCACGATCCGCTTTACACTCGCTCAGAGAGAGAGAGAGAGAGAGAGAGAGAGAGAGATTAAAAACCGTGGTTACCTAAAGAAGAGCGAATCTGTAATGAATGTAGATCAAGGTTAAGTTGAGACTGTGAGAAATACACGTCTTTAAGAGACTCACTGTACAGTCAAATACAGCAGAACATTCCTGAGTTCCAGTCGCGCCATGAAAATGACAAATTAAGGATATTACTTGGTGAAGGACCTACTTCCTCTTTGGTAGCACATCATATTTATAAATGCCACAAACTAAGAGTTAAAGAGTGAACACATCTGCATTAGTAGTACCATCA